CTAAACCCCTAAACCCCTAAAAACCTGAAAACCCTGAACCCAAACCCGCCCTCTTTCAGAGGTCAGGAGGCCCAGTAGTGCTGCGCCGAAAACCGCAACAGCAGCTCCGCCCTCCTCGGTTGGGTGCTTCGGCTTCACGTTGTAGGGCTCAGGGAGATGAGTTGTTTACCCCAAATCCTGAACGGTCCTAAACCCCTAGGGTTTTCGGGTTGAGGGTCTAGGGTTTAGGGTTTAGGGTTAGAGGTTTCACACCGTGGGTTTGGGCTGCAGACGGTTCTGGAACCACACTGTCTGGGCAAAAGCTTCGAAGACTCTCTGCTGAAGCCTAAACCCTCAACCCTCATCCCTAAAAGCCCTAAGCCCAAAGCCCTAAACCCTAAACCAAATCCTAAACGGTCCTAAACCCTAAAGGTTTTCGGCTGTTGGGTGTCGGAGTTTATTGCATGACCGCAGCTTCCCCACTACGGTGCAGCTAAGTATTCAGCTAAGGCCAAGGGCTTGGGGTTTCCTTGTTAAGGCTTCAGGGTTGGGGGCTGGGGATTGAGTACTTGAGCCCGAAGTCCTCAACCCCAAACCAAATTTCAAAAGCAACGGGGTTTAGGGCTTAGGGTTTAAGGGTTTAAGGGTTTAAGGTTTAGGGGTTTAGGGCAGAGAGGGGACGTCCGTGACATGCCCCTTTGCTGCCCAAGTGCAGCTGGTTCAGATTGCCAACTGCGGGAACTTGCAGAAATCTCCTGCACCGAACGTAATAAAAAAAAAAACCCTCATCGTGAGGGCACAATGGGCAGAGAGCACTTTGGCAGTTTGGAAGGCGTCAGGTTCGGGGTTGGGGTCGGGCGTATAGGGGGGCTTCGCGAGTTTGCACCTATTCTCGCGTGGTCGTGGTCACAAATCTGGCTTCCTGTCTTTTCACCAGTACACATTTCGACGTCGTCGTCTTCAAGATCAGTCAGGCTATGCACCCGGGACTAAGGTTTTCCCTGTGTGGATGATTCCTCGTCCGCTGCTACTGTAGGGACACAAACTCATACCATTTTGGGGGCTCCTTATTATCATATACTACACAGGAGCCCAAAACCCTATTCAATTTATGAAGGCTCCTATACTTATACTACCCTAAACTATGAAGGCTCCTATACGACCCTAAACCCTCGCGCCTAGGCTTAACAAGAAAAGCTTGGGTTTTCCTGCCAACTCAACCAGCCCCCCGAATTAAAGCCATCCAAAACGGCTGCCCTGGCCGAGGATGTTAGGTTTTCACTGGTTTAAGCTTTCAGAGTGTCGGGCCGTGTAAGATTTTATAGCTTCAGGATTTCAAGCTTTGCCAAAATATTGTGCAAGGCACCTTATAACCTCATCTAGACCTGCGGAAATTCCACAAGCTCTAACCCTGAAGCTCGATATTGAATCCCTAAAGCACTAAGCGCGTCACCCTAGACCCCAAACCCTCAGCACCACGCCCGAAGCCGGAACCCCAAACCCTAAACCAAAGGCCTGTGAAAAGCCTGAACGTCCGATCGCCTGGTCCCTAAACCCTAAACCCTGAACCTTAAACCCTAAACCCTGAACGTCCCATCGCCTGGTGCTGGCACAAATGCCATCCGGCGTTCGCTGCAGATCGTAGAAGATCGAGAGCATCCTCGGAAGCTTTGAACTTGGGGGCCTCAAGGGGGTAAAGGGTTTAGGTTTCTTTTTGTTTGGGCGGGGAGGGGGGGTTAGGGTTTAGGTTTGTTTGTGTGTTTTTTCTTTTTGTTGGAGTGGGTTAGGGTTTAGGGCTTAGGGCTTAGGGGTTAGGGCCTAGGGTTCAGGGTTTAGGGTTCAGGGTTTAGGGGTTTGCGG